TTAATTTCTCTGTGTCAAAGAGCGTGGAGACATCATTTTAGTGTCACATGATCAGTTCTTCACCGTGTTTTACCCCGTACTCTCTGTCATCTTTCATGTCCTGCCCATTACAGGTGATTTATGTTCATAGAGAAGAGATAAAAAAATACTGGTATTTATAATTAAAATAAAAAGTTGTGTTAATTTTTATTAGTTAATATGATATTATGTCATTTGTTGCCACCCAAAATTTTTTGATAATTTTATGGTTGCAATCAGTAGTTTTGATCATTCTAAAACACTTTTCTTCTATGGCATTTCTGTCACAAATAAGTTCTGTATAAGTGAGATATTTTACATTTTAGTTGCTGGTTTGTTAACCAATCAGATCTTGGCATAGTCCATCTGTTAGGCTAGTATGGTTTAGATTAGGTTATATATTCTATACTGGTGCAATCAATACAGTATACTTATATACTAATGCAAATTAATTACATACACTGTACACTCTTGTCCTATATGTAAATAGGAAATGTCAAATTTTCCCCTAAAATCAAAACTTTTTAATTTCTAAATTTGTACCAAAAAATTGCAAACAATAGAATCAAATCTATATAACATTTTACATCCATCAAGCATAATTTCAACTTCCAAATGTTTGGTGGTAACAAGTGAAATTTTACCATTAATACTACATCATCCACAGAACAACTGTGGATAATATGAATCAAATATAAACACAGTACTGTGGTACTAAGGGACTCCACCACCACTACCCAGTACAAGTTATGATGGTGTTATTTGACTGTGCTGGCTGGGCAAATATCCAAAGGGTATTTGACCGTTAGCTGCGGAGATTGTCTATGATTTTACTACGATTTTAATGGGATTGTGGACAGGATGGCTGTGGGCATTATTACACTAGTCATTACATAATAACTTAAATGTTAAATGCTTAATTATCTTCTGATACTCCAAGATGTCCCACTTCTCTTATGGACATATAATTGGGTTAGGTTAGATAAACATTTTTTAGTCTATACCTAAACTGTTAAACGTTGAGCTGTTGGTTTTCTTAATAAATAGATTTATAATTTAATCATGTTCTATCTTCCTTATCATTAATTTTACGTGTTCCTATCTCTACTTGGTCGATTGTGTTACAATAGTTTAAAGTTATCAATAAAATAATATGTAGTATATTCTGGGGCCACAAGAACTTGGTTTTATTTTAGAACCCTTCAAAATATTATATTATATTTATAATTGTTAGTCAAATTGAAACAAATTTATACAGTAAAACCATTCATAAATATATTGAATAATAATTACTCACATACAATAATATGATATATAACTGGGGGTCAAATAGTGCTATAAGCCGTGCCTACCTGTTGCTCCTGCCAGCAGACCAACACCCACACACACACAGCAAGTCTCTTACCTTGTCCAATATGTCCTCACAACTATTATAAGGCTCTCTCTCTCTTACACCACCATAATCCCTGCACACTTATCATTCATACTAAAACACAAATGAGTCCTCACAATACAATATTACACCAATACAAACCAATTTTCTTCAGAATATTTTTCGATGCTGTGTTTGCATGGAGGAGGGCATGGCACACCACACCCTTCTTCCCAACCACACACTCTTCCTCCTAACCACTCCCTCTTCCTCCCATCCACATCCTCCCATCCACAAACACTACCTCCCATCCACACACCCAAAAGGTTGGGTGGATGGGAAGGGAGTTGGGATGGGTAGGTATGTGAGTTGGGTTGGAGGGGAGGTGGTGTAGGAGGAGGGTTGGGTGGGAGGGAGGGGGGGTGGGAGGGAGGGAGGGTTGGTGGGTGGGTGGGGGTGTTTGGGAGGGAGTGTTGGGTATAAGGAAAGGTGTGAGAGAGGGTGAGTGTATGGATGGGAGTGAGGGTGTGTGTGGGGGAGGTCCTCCCATACACACACCCTCACTCCCATCCATACACTCACCCTCTCTCACACACCCAACCTCCCACCTTTAATGTGTGTGGATGGGACTAAGGTTTTCTCATTTCTTTCAGATTGTGCGCCTCCGAGGTGAAAGTCTGACTGAAGTGAACGTGTGGCTGGTCGAGAACTCCTCCAAACAGGTAAAGTACTTATGACAATATATAATGTCTATATGCAAGTATTTATGAATGTTATGTTTTAAAGTTTTTTGTATTCCAGGTTTGTTTGTGTGGCTGACTGGACCTACTACAAGGTGCTTCTTGCAGGTAATAAAGGTAAAGTTTTTCAAGTTATAGTTGATAGCACTAACAGCACCGTAGTTAGACGTAGAATGCACAGTAGTAACTCCGCCTTGTTCAGTCGAACATGCCGGTCCCAAGCCCGGATAAAGGAGGAGGGCTACTGCAGTGTTGTATCTACCATCGCCACCTAACAAACTTACATTATGAATTGTTCTGAAAAAGGTAATGTGTTCTGTCAGCAACAGAGAAAAAAATTACATATGTACTGTACATTGTGTACTATGTTTTTACATCTTTGTAGATAGGTAATACAAAATAAAGAATTGAATATACAGTATATTTTTTATTTTCATATGTATACACTACACATTTATTGCAATATACAATAACAGTCCAGAAGCTGATACAGAAATACAAAATATTCTTGGTCATATAGCCTAGTTTTATACCTGCACTGTCTAGGTACAGTATATATCAATTTACTGGCTATTCCTGCAGTCTTATGTTCTTAAACCTACATTACCAAATATTAGCACAGAAGAAAATCAGAGAAAACTTGTAATGATTGGCAACATCACTAGATATCTTTCTCCGGTGTCCCAAGAAATCACATTACAGTACCACTACCATTATTATTTCTCGGCAGATACATCAGTGATGGTGAGGCCGTCACATTATCAGCGGTTGTGGATTTCTCAATTCAACCTTTATATTGCAGACTCCACATAAGGTGAGTTTATTTCACTAAACCTTAAGGTTTTATAGAGTATCTTGTCAGGTTTTGGTCCTACACAAAATTTAGCTTTAGATAATAATGGAAGTCTTGTACTTTGTGAATAATTTTGGCCAGGCACAGTACAGATATATTTCTAAATTTATCCAAGTTACCAAGTCTTTAGGGAGCGGGGTGGGGGGAGGGGGGTTCATAAGTTGTTTATTACAATTTTACAAGATTTTTTCTTCTATATTTTCAGGTAAAACACTTCCATTCAGCAATTGGTGTGCAGTGTCCAGATTGTCAACATTTAGTAAGTAAAATTCTTACTGTACTTTACTTTCATTTACTGTATATATACAATACTTTCAAATTAATAGTATGTATGCAATCAAAAATGTTCCTTACGGTCATGGCCGATGAATTTCAAAATGAACACGAGACGCCCGTTCTCTCGGTACGGTTGACAAAATCCTTTGTCCGAGGCGTCCGTGACTTAAATGCATTATTTGTGCCATCTGTGGGTATCTAGAAGTTTTGATTACATGTACCCAATAGGGCATCACATGGGCATTAGTTTGTAACAGTTGTACGTACAATGAATGGCACTTTGATGTCAATTGGTGATAATTATGTAATTAATGTATATATCATGTTCTAAGTTACCCAGAAGCCATCATGTGGGTGTATCCAAGTTGATCACTTTAGTTCATGTTTCAGGTATAGTTTACAGTTCTACTGTACTTGTGGTTTATTTAGATCATTATCATTCAACTTCGGAATATGAAACGTAAAGTTTATTCAATATTTATTTATTTATTTATTGTTATACACAGACATTGTAGGAGTACAAACCATTACAAACACCTCCAGTGCAAGTGCCTCTACCAGTGCAAGTGCCTCTACCCGGTACAAACGCCTCCCCCGGTACAAACGCCTCCCCCGGTACAAACGCCTCCCCCGGTACAAACGCCTCCCCCTGGTACAAACGCCTCCCCCGGTACAAACACCATCCCTCAACAAGCCACCAGAGGCCTTCCCACACTGAACAACAATTACATATTACACTTAATTTTACAAACCACTAAGAGAAATGGATCCGTGCGAGATATTCAAACCTCTCACAATCCGTTTGATTGATGTCCGTGTATCTCGTTGTACACCTTGCTGATACTTCACCTGTGGACGAAAAATATGCAGTATTATAAAATGGAAATTTTTTGCAACCACAACAAAACTGACTACCACTGTAGTTAATAATGCTACTGTACATAATGTATCTTGTTATTTTTAATACTTTGTGTGGCTTTAATCAAGGTCCACTCCTACAGTCTTGAATGCATTAGTACAGTACTTTAAGTATTTTCTCAAGTTTTGCTAAATTATAACAAAAATATTTCCGTAATACTTAACTTTCACAGTACACTATTCTTACAGTAGTGTACAGAACACCAATTCTGTTCTTTCTTAGTTAGGTGGTAGTCATCAAGGTGTGGGATGCTGGACAGTAGTGGTCACCTTGTTGTGTCTGGTCCATCTTTCTTGTACACCAACCACCTGCAACATGATTATATTTGTTTTTAGATACTCTACATCTGAATTAATTAAGCTATTTTATATCACAACCAATACACAATATTGAGGTTAACTTGTACTGTATGTTCTTAAATGCACTATTTTAAGTAATATATCAAGTTTTGCTAAATTATATAAAAAAGGTTTCAGTAATACTTAACTTTTACATTACAGTACACTATTCTTAACAGTAGTGTACAGAACACCAATTCTGTTCTTTCTTAGTAAGGTGGTAGTCCTCAAGGTGTGGGATGCTAGACAGTAGTGGTCACCTTGTTGTGTCTGGTCCATCTACCTTGTACACCAACCACCTGCAACATGATTATATTTGTTTTTAGATACTCTACAACTGAATTAATTAAGCTATTTTATATCACAACCAATACACAATATTGAGGTTTACTTGTACTGTATGTTCTTAAATGCACTATTTTAAGTAATATATCAAGTTTTGCTAAATTATAAAAAAAGGTTTCAGTAATACTTAACTTTTACATTACAGTACACTATTCTTACAGTAGTGTACAGAACACCAATTCTGTTCTTTCTTAGTAAGGTGGTAGTCCTCAAGGTGTGGGATGCTAGACAGTTGTGGTCACCTTGTGGTGTCTGGTCCATCTATCTTGTACACCTGCAACATGGTTTGGATTTAGATCAATCTTAATTAGCCTTAATGTATTACTACCAATACACAACATTTACTCCAGAATTTATTGGAATCTAAACTTGCATTCTTATATATATGTGATATATCCATACACTCAAACACCCTCCTATATCACCTTACACAGGAGCATTGTCCTTCTCACTTTTGGCTGCAGCAGTCTTCATCTAGGCATCATCCCCCACATGCCTTCATAGTACATGCTATTTTTTGCATCACATTTTTAACATGCACTCCATTCACCATTGCTTGAGCACACCACCATCCATGCATGAGCGCCCCCACTGTACGAACGCCCGTCCACTATACGAGGCCTCCACCCCCACTGTACGAGCGCCCGTCCACTATACGAGGCCCCCATCCCCACTGTACGAGCGCCCGTCCACTATACGAGGCCCCCATCCCCACTGTACGAGCGCCCGTCCACTATACGAGGCCCCCACCCCCACTGTACGAGGCACCCACCCCCCCCACTGTACGAGCGCCCCTGCACTGTACGAGCGCCCCTCCACCGCCCAATGCTCCTCCTTTCCAACCCTTCACACAAAGTAAGTCCCTCCTCTCGAGTCTTACTTCCAGTAGTTTTTGGGGATGGCCATACTAAGATACGTAAGTAATTTACCTAAGAAGGCTTAAGTAACATGCTGGGTGTTACATCTTGCTCAAGGTGTCGGTCACTTCCTCTACATTGGCATTCACGTACGTCAGCTGTCACCTGCAACATGTTTAAAGTTGTAATTTATGTACAATGAAGATTAAACATACAATTTCCATCTACCACCAGACTACATGTACTTATACTGTCCCTAATTATTTTTTTAAATACCTTATCTACAAAAGATCTTATTTTAAGTTGCATTAGTGTTTTAGTTTTCTTGATACCTCAACAACTAACATTTACCACAACAATAGTATAGCCAATCATAACAAGCCTTCATCACCAATACTGCTACACTACTAAATCTCTCCACACTGCTTCATACACAACAGTTTACCACTGTTCACTTACTGAATCCTCCCTCCCTTCCTCCCACCCCTCAAGCCCCCTTAGGTATTCCCCTTGACAACTTGGTCACATTTAGCTTGAATGAAAAACTTTACCAACACACCTGCTCACCCCATATGCCAATACACAAGCCATATTGTCCCCCCCACCCTAATTACAACAAGCCACACCCACACAATGTTTAATGATTTCACAAGTCCCACAAGCTTCCCTTGCCTAAATAAAACTCAGTAAGTTGACTTTACCTGTTCTGGCATTTTAAGTTATTTCTCCTTAGGTTCAGTATGATGTTACTTCTGGCCAGCTTAACCTGAGGAGAAAGTCAGTACAGTACACGATTAGATTTTGAAAAGGAAACTGCAAAGTACGCAAGCTATTGATTTTTAATAATTTAAACAAGTGAAATTTTTTTAGCTTAACTTTCTGAATTCATGATCAGTTAACTTGTGGCAAATTTTAAGTTACATTCTTTAATATATTTGTTATCCAATATATAAACTATATAATAGGTAACTTAATATTAATTTGGGTTAGTCTAGATTAGTTACATTTAATCTATGTTAGGCTGATTAGGTTAGTTAATTTGTTAGTTAAAACCCACCTACTAACAACCAGCTTTACTTACTATTAATCACATTACTACTACTAATGCTCACTAATACTGTAACTAATTGGCATTTAGTCCTGTACATTTTTATAGCACTTTATTAAGCTTTCCCAAATCTCTACAGCTAATCTTAATTTGACTCCCAGCTCAGTTTATCTAGACAGTCCACACAGCTCTCCAGAGCCCATTGTAAAATTGCAGTTTCGTCGAATATGCCCTCGTAGTTTAGAAATTCGTTTATCCTGTGTATTTTGGGTCGATTCAATGAAATTTGGCCTTTATTTCCAGGGGAAAGCACCCTCTTTAGAATTATATCCCCCCCCCCCAAAACAAAGCATGGAATCTTCAAAACTCCTTTCTGACATTCTTTGCTCCCTGGTTAAAATGGTGTTAGAAATACTCCAATAAGGAGATCTAAAGGTTGGGGATGGTTAAAAGTCAGGTGTGTACTGGCCGAAACTGCAATAATACCGAGCCCTCCAACACACACACACACACACACACACAGTCCTCCAACACACACACCAACACACACAGTCCTCCACACACACACACACACACAGTCTTCCCACACACACACACACAGTCCTCCAACACACACACACACACAGTCCTCCAACACACACACACACAACACACACACACACACACACAGTCCTCCAACACACACACACACACACAGTCCTCAACACACACACACACACACACAGTCCTCAACACACACACACACACACACACAGTCTCACTTTACACACACACACACACACACAGTCCTCAACACACACACACACACACACAGGTCCTCAACACACACACACACACACACACACACACAGTCCTCCAACACACACACAGTCCCTTAGCACACACACACACAGTCCTCCAGCACACACACACAGTCCTCCCAGCACACACACACAGTCCTCCAACACACACACAGTCAGTCACACACACACACAGTTCTCCAGAGCTCTACAACACACACAGTTCTCCAGAGCCCTCCAACACACACACAGTCCAACACACACACACAGTCCTCCAACACACACACACACACACAGTCCTCCAGAGCCCTCCAACATTCACAGTCAGCCAGGTCCCACACACACACACCCTCCACTGCCCAGTGTAGGAGCACAGTGTTGAGTGGTTTATGGGCTGACCATAATAGCTAAGATAATATATAAGTAACTTAACTGATGAGGCTGAAGTAACATGCTGGGTGTTAAGTCTTGCTCAAGGTTCTCTCACTTCTCCATTGGCCTTCAAGTACACCAGCTGTCACCTGCAACATGCTTAAAGTTGTAATTTACGTAGAATGAAAATTAAACTTGCAACTTCCATCTACCACTACACCACGTGTACTCACTGTCCCCAACTGTTTACATAAACCATTACCTCCACACTAAAACTATAGCATTTTTAGATCTCATGGTGTTGTCCCGACCTCCGTAAAGTGTCATTAATGCAAGAACGAATGTAAGTGTCGTCAAGACCAACACATGTGGTAACTCCAACGAGAACCAGGCCAATAAGGTAAGAAATAAGGGATTCCAACATATGGCGAGAGTCGGTTAGATTAGGTCCGGTTTATGTTTTTATAGGGTTTTTTTTTTTTGCATTTTTCATTCGCTGAGTCAATATTTTTTTCGGGAAACACCACCAAAAAAATCTATAAAAAACGACCAATTTCCGACGGAAATGGAGGTCATAACCGATCTAAACACAAATACGCTAATATTATTTTGTTTTACTTTCTAATTGTTGTGTGAACATACAAATGGACCTTTTTACACCAGGAGACAACCAAGGAACCTCCAGGTTACGTTACGTTACGTTGTTAGGTTAGTTATGGTGCTTTTTGGTTGTTGACCAATGGGTTTTTCCGGTTGTAAAATCCATGGTTGTCCACTTTTAAAAAATTACCAGGAACCTTAATGTTACGGGATTTAATATATACTGTATTCTGAAACGTCTCGCCCTCTAGCCTAGCCTAGCCTAGCCTAGCCCAGCCCAGCCCCGCCCGGCTCACTACCTCACCTCATCCGGTTCCCTACCCCGCCCCGCCCCGC